GTCCATCTATGATATACCCCCAATAACTTTGAAAATATCCATTTTCTTCCAAAAGTATCAATTCCCTAAACACCAAAAAATTGAAGGCAAAGCAAGAATCCAAAAACCAATAACCAAGTTTGACAAAATCCTTATCCCTACAAACATAAATCAAAGAACCTAAGGGTAGCAGCAAAGAGAGCAAAGGCTTAGACTTGAAACAGAGGACAGAGGACTCCATAATTTTTTTTTTTTTCAAACAAAGAAATTGCACTTTACATACATAATTAAACAACACCCAATTATCAAGAAATAAAACCCATAAATAAAAATATCAAAACAAAGTTCCTTACCATCAGTTGCCGGAAAGACGGTCTGTGGCGGTCAACGAGCTGCACTCGTCCTAGAAGCGAACCCTGTACAAGGAGAAGAATGCAACTCTCTAATCGGTACAGTCCTCGTCTGAAAGCGCTTTGTCCAGCTTAACGAATTGAAGGTCTGAGGGCGTAGCAAGTAATTCCGACGAAAACCGGTACGAGACTACACTGGCGGAGATGTAGCCGGCGGGAAGAGGCTGAACGTTGGGGGACTCTGGGTTGGGCTTTTTGTATTTTGGGCCAAAGGTTTAGGTTTTTATGACATTTCTTCAAAGATTTATAGAGTTATACTTTTTTGTTTGGGGTAATAAGACCTCTATCTCTAGCTTTAGGATATATGCTGCTTTTCAAATTTCACTGCCCCAACAACCACAGATTCAATCTAATATCTTAACTTTTCATCTTCCATGCCATTTCCATCCAAAAGCTTCAAGACAAAAACAGAACATGTACAGAGAGAACGAGGGGCTTGGCTTTGGTTGATTCTTCTTCTTTTCTCTCCTATCCATAAAAGGGTTTTCTTTGATAAAAACATGAGAGTCCTAATTGTGTTCACAATGTTCAAGCTTGTGCTGTCCACAAATGAAAGAAAAAAAGAGAATGTTCAAAGCTAAATATAATGGGAAGGTCCGACCAAATCCCCCACCAAAAAGACTCCAAAGGCACACCAGCAGCTCTCGACGACAAGCCGACACACAACCCACTCAGTCTTTTATTCTCCTTAAAGAAACACTTCCAAATGCCACCTTCCACATCTCTTCAGATTTTGCTCCTGACCATTTTCTTCCCTGGACGTACTTTCACCTATTCACATGGCCACATATCTCTGCCTTGTTACACATTGCAGCTCAGCTGCTTTTGTATTCCAACTTTTAGTCATACAGAATCAAATAGCCGGAATGAATGAATTAAAATAATCATCTTAAGTCTTAGCTATGTCCTATACATATATGCATATGTATATGAGGTCTCATTAAAGAGTACTTGCATCAATCCCATTGAGGTTCCTCTTCATCTTCCAATGAGCGAAGATAGACAGAATGATCCAGCAATCATTCATCCATCCATTGCTCTTTTGCAAGAAAGGTTCAGACTGCTGGAGAGAGCTAAGGAGATAAGGCAGGAGAAAGAGCTCTTACGGATGTTGCCTGAATCATGGCAGATCAATGCAGCTATGCCTTACGTGCCATGCAGATCACTTTTCCACCCTATACTCATGCTTCAGTCAAAGCTGCCTCTTCAGTGTACACTCAAAATAGAAGCCAGTCTGCAAAGCAGGAATACCCAGGTTTAGGCCATTCAGACTCCAATATTGGAGAATTTATGGTCTGGAGACACTGTCATATGCACAACTGACCATAATGATATTTCAGATGTTGATGCTACATCTGTGAACAAGTTTAACAATGTTAGTCTATCTAGTAGTCCTGTGGTTTCCTTCTGTTTCTTCTTCATGGTGCAGTAAGAATATGGGAAAGGAAAAAAAGGGGGCATTTGGATGCCAACAAACAATGAACAAATACCACTTTAAGTGGGCACAAAGAACATGCTAATAAAGAATAACGTTCTGTCTTTAGGACTTCTAGCTCCAACTGAAAAGATTTTGTTTATTTTTTTAGCCTCGCAACAGGGAAAGCATTGTCAGCATCTAACTCTAGAACAAAGCTCAAAATATCACAAATGTTGTCTCTTATTGTTTCAAGATATCACAAGTTAGCATAAGTTGACATGCAGCACAAAATAAAAATAAAGAAAACGGCAGAAGTTGGCACTTTATCATAATAAAAAACCTCAACACAATGAATGATTCTGTTTAGGTAAAGTTTCAACAGTTCCACCATATTCATTAAGAACAATAGCCATGTGAACCTTCCTGGTCTGGAACTCTCTAAGAAGATTCCAAACTGACATTGAATCTACAAAACCAACTTTCTAAATTTTACTGTATATATAGTTGAAGCATTCTACTTTTTCCATTTTCTTTTCCCTTAGACAATAACTACTAAAACAACAAATAAGTCTAATGAAACAGGATCTTCTGCACTTTGATTAATTACAAAAATCAGAAAAGAAATGACATCTTCACATAAAATGTGGATAATATGGTGAGAAAATGGGGTAATAG